AAATGTTCTACCTAGGGTTGCCAGGTCCCTACCCGGCATCTAGTGGGGGGGAGAAGCTGTCTGTCCAGGAGTCTCATGTGCGTGCATAGCGTGCACGTGCTATGATGACATCACCTGGAAGTGACACTATTGCGCCGGACACATCATCGAGGGATGCTCTAGCATTCGGCCTTAAAACTCTATGGTACCATAGAGTTTTAAGGTCGAATACTAGAGCGTCCCCCGACGACATGGTTGGCACGATGACGTCATCTCCGCACTGGGTACATTGGCCTGATTCAGGCTCTTTGGGAGCGGGGTTCTCCCAGGGTCCAGATCTGGGATGGGGACCCCTAGAGCAGGCAACCCCCTACCCCCCTGGGGGACCGGGCATCCCTAGCTCTACCACTAAGTCACAGTCACTCCCCTTCCCAGTGTATAATTGCCTTTGGAACTTGGGCTGTTGTTGCTATGTTTAGAATGGTTAACTGTTGAGCCTCATCAAAGAAGCCTTGGTTCTCACACTTTTAAAACAGCAGAGACCATTAGATTTCCATTCATAATTAGCAGGAGGCTAGGGGAGAGGCCCTGGCTCACTTCGGGATACCATTCCCCAGGTGGAGGTGGGTGTCCCCCTACTTTTGTGGGCTCTGGCCTGCTGCTGGCCAGTGGGAGGAAATCCCCCCACCCCCAACACCGTGAAGGATGCGCTGACGTCACCCAGAAGTGACGTCAGTGTGACAGTGACATCTGGGGAATGCCGCCGCTGCTCTTCTTTTTGAACAAAACTCTATAGTCTGAGTCCATTTGTACCATAGAGTTTGGCCCCAAAAGAAGGGTGACATCGGCAACGCACTGACATCACTTCCGGGTGATGTCAGCACATTGTGCAATGTCCCTGCCCACCTTCGGAATACCTCCCAACCCCCCCCCCACTGGCACAAGGAATGCCTCCCAAATCCCCCCACTGGCGCACTTTGGCAAACCCTAGGCTCAACCTGCAGCTACAAGCACAGACGGCCTCAAGAGGAGAATGGAATAAACATATGGTGGAGCAGAGGTCCATCAGTAGGTGTTATCCACAAGGTATAGATGGAACACTTTGTCTTGGGCAGTGATGCTCTGCAATCTTGGTGCTTGGGGGGGCAACAGTGGGAGGGCTTCTGGAGTTCTGGCCTCACTGATGGACCTCCTGATGGCACCTGGTATTTTTGGCCATTGTGTGACAGTGTTGGACTGGATGGGCCATTGGCCTGATCCAACACTCTTATGTTCTTATGTAGAAGTCTCTCATTGAACCTGGGACCTTCTGCATGCCAAGCAGATACTCTACCACTAACCGTGGCCCCTCTCCTAATACTTTCCACTTTCATAGTAAACCATATTTTGCCATGGCCACTGAGCCTACTAGCAATGGTTTGCAATCCCCCCCCCCCAATTTTGAATCCATTGCTTGAAATCTTGGTTGTAGGGATTGGACAAACTATAGTTCAGTGATCCAGGGTCAACAGCAAACTGTGGCCTTTGATGAAATCTTCCCTTGCTGTGCTGTTTAAAAGCCAGTTTGGTTTAGTAGTTAAGTGTGCGGACTCTAATCTGGGAGAACTGGGTTTGATCCCCCCACTCCTCCACTTGCACCTGGCTGGATGACCTTGGGCAAGCCATAGTTTTGGCACAGCTGTTCTTGAAAAAGAGCAGTTTCTGTCAGAGCTCTCTCAGCCCCACCTACCACACAGGGTGTCTGTTGTGGGGAGGGGAAGGGAAAGGAGTTTGTCAGCCGCTCTGAGACACCTTTGGGTAGTGAAGGGTGGGGTATAAATCCAGTCTCCTCCTCCTCCTCCTCCTCCTTTGGGTAGTGAAGGGTGGGGTATAAATCCAGTCTCCTCCTCCTCCTCCTCCTCCTTTGGGTAGTGAAGGGTGGGGTATAAATCCAGTCTCCTCCTCCTCCTCCTCCTCCTCCTCCTCCTCCTCCTCCTCTTCTTCTTCTTCTTCTTCTTCTTCTTCTTCTTCTTCTTCTTCTTCTTCTTCTTCTTCTTCTTCTTTTGTGTTTAGACCATTTGTGGGCCCCATTTCCTCAGAGCCTGCTCTAGATGGCTTCCAAAAGAAACCACACGAAACAAAATGGCATAAAAACTGTAACAGCGAACCATTGAAAAACCAAGCGAGAGCATAAGGACAGCCTAAAACGCAGGCAGAAGGGAACCAATGGAGCCTGAAGGGTCTGCCAGGATGCTTCCTCTGTGTCTGCTATGTGGCCGTTGCGTAGGAGCCAAGCTACTTCTGTAGGGACACTTCGGCAGATCACGGGCGGGAGGGCAGGAAGGGTCGCATCAGTGCTTAGTTCCCGTGTCCCTTTCTTACATGCCCAAGGAAATGCCAATCTCTGCTTTGGGATCAGGAAGCAATTTTTCTCCAGGCCGGCTTGGCCAGGAATCCTGGAGGGATTTTTTGCCATCTTCTGGGCATAGAGCAGGGTGTGTGTGTGGGGTGCGGGGGGAGGGGAGGTAGTTGTGGACTTCATGCATTGTGCAGGGGGTTGGACTAGATGACCCTGGAGGTCCTGTCCAACTCTGTGATTCTGTGCCAGAGACAATTCCTTGCCCGTGGGGGTGGGGGTGGAAAGTGCCATCAAGTCACAGCCGACTTATAGTGACCCTCTAGGGTTTTCAAGGCGAGAGATGTTCAGAGGTGGTTTTCTGTTGAGCCAGTTTGGTGTAGCGGTTAAGTGCGCGGACTCTAATCTTGGAGAACCGGGTCTGATTCACCACTCCCCCACTTGCACCTGCTGGATGACCTTGGGCAAGCCATAGTTCTGATAAGAGCCGTTCTTGACAAAGAGCAGTTTCTGTCAAGAGCTCTCTCAGCCCCACCTACCTCACGGGGCGTCTGTTGTGGGGAGGGGAAGGGAAAGGAGTTTGTAAGTCACTCTGAGACTCCCTTGGGTAGTGAAGGGCGGGGTATAAATCCAATCTCCTCCTCCTCTTCTTCTTCTTCCTCTATTGTCTGCCTCTGTGTTGTGGCCCTGGACTTCCTTGGTGGTCTCCCACCTAAGTACTGGTCCTGCTTAGCTGTCAAGGTCTGATGAGACTGATATAGCCTGGGCCATCCAGGTCAGGGCACTCATGAGAACACAAACCTTCCTTCCTTCCTTCCTTCCTTCCTTCCTTCCTTCCTTCCTTCCTTCCTTCCTTCCTTCCTTC